TCAGGAGTGAAGCTGCTGTCTGTTGGACTTGGGAGTCCAAACTGTAGGCTGGAGAGTCTAAGGTCAGACAACTTTCAGAAAGCTCTTTACTCTTTATTTTTCCTTAAGTACTCATATTCACTTTACGAGTAGGTGAACATCGAGATTTGTTTCAATGGAGCTTGAACCCCATGAAGTCTGATTTAAGTATGTGTTTTATATATGTGCTAAATCATATTTTTCAGATTGAAGAACTGCAGTTTGTCAGACAGTTGTTGTGATTATCTGGCATCAGCTCTGAAGTCCACCTCTTCCCGTCTGCGAGAGCTGGATCTAAGTAACAACAACTATCTTAAGGATTCAGGGTTGAAGCTACTGTCTACTGGACTTGAAAGTCCACACTGTAGACTGGAGACTCTGAGGTTAGACATTTTATTGAATCTGTGCAGAGATTAATTATATATTATTACTGTTGTTACATTCAAGGGGATAGCACAGAATGCTACAAATATTTGTTTCAAACTGTGGCATCAGTACTGGTATCTTTTTTTAAGCTGGCACCCTGTTGGATTTAGGTGTTGAGCATGCAAGATTATAGAATTTTATATTTAAAACATCTCTAATTAGATAATGAAACAGTAGGTTAAAGAAAGTGTATTAAAAATTGTTGCCATCAATAGCTACATTCTTTATACTTCTTTATCTAGACTAAGTTCCTGCAGGCTGTCAGAGAGCGGCTGTGCACATCTGGCCTCAGCTCTGAAGTCCANNCAGGCTGTCTGATCACAGAGGAAGGATGTGTTTCTCTGGCCTCAGCTCTGACCTCCAACCCCTCCCATTTGAGAGAGCTAGATGTCAGTAAAAACAAACTGAAGGATCTGGGAGTAAATCTACTGTCTGCTGCAATGGAGAGTCCTCAATGTAGACTGAAGACTCTGAGGTGAGTCCACACCCATAGATAATATATCTTTTAATGAGAATTAAAATGTTATTTTAGCAGATGGTGACTGAAAGATACTGTAATTAATAAAAGGAAAGCACAAGTTCTATTTCTCATAGACTTTGTCTAACAGGCTCTATAGACTTTTACACTGTGTTTTGTTGAGCAGTAAAATGAAATTTTAGTACAAGTAGTAGTTATCAATCTCCAGATCAGTTCTGCAGCCTGTTAGACATGTTTCTTACCTCAGGTATTAGCTCCTTCATCTCCACCTACAGGAAAGTGATGGAGCACTACGCTATTTCTTTCCAGTGTTCCTCTCCAGGTGGTCACAGATGAGCACTGCTATATTACAAGTTTTGCTTGCCTGAAAGTGTGTGTGGGTCCTATTATTACTCTGATTCACCATTGCGACAGTAATCACCTCTGATTTGCTGTCATGGCTTCAGGGTTTTAGAAATGTGTATCAGGATGGTAATCAGACAACCAGAATAAACCCAAATTATCTTAGGGTCTCTTCCTGCAATGTGTTATATTTCTTGTGTTTGTTTTTATTTAAGCTGCCACGAAAAGATTTTAGTAAAGACGATGTGATGAAACATGCATTTTGTAAAATGACAAGTCATTTCCACTAAAGACTAAGGTCTTACCTGTCTACTTCTGCTTGTGGTAGGGTGCTAAAGTGGTTTAGCACAGTTGGCTTCTTGACAACTTTGTGTCATTTTGGCATCATGGCAAAGAGTGCAAGTGTCTTTGCCCCCTTACATCTATTGAGTCTGTGTTAAAGGGTTTATGTCTGTGAAAGATATAACAATAGATACCTTTAGCAGACTTCTAGTAACCTTTCACACCAGGAGTTATGACTTTAAGAATGCCAGGTTGAGGTAAGACCACCATTTAGACAGGCAGTACTCTAGGGATTTGTTGACCCTATCCTGACCACTTCATACAAAACTTGCGCTGAGTAAGCAAGTGTATTGACCCTGTTAGAGAGGACTCTGCGCTCACTGAAGTAGGGTTACAAACAAATGTTTTTATTTAATACTCTATTAACTTGATTTAATATCAATCCTACAATTACAGGGTTGATAGATGTGGGCTTACGGAGAACTGTTGCACTTCTTTGGCCTCAGCTCTCAAATCCAACCCCTCCTGCCTGAGAGAGCTGGAGCTGAGTAATAACGATCTGCAGGATTCAGGAGTGAAACTGCTGTGTGCAGGATTGGAGAGTCCACATTGTAGACTTGAAGCTCTGAGGTCAGTCATTGTGGTTTCAGTTTTACAATAACATAAATATTAAATCAATATCACGCTGACAATAATTTGAATGCATCTGTATAATGATAATAGTATTGTGATCCAGACTGACTAACCTAATGCCATGAACAATTCTTAACGCACATTGAATACTGCATAGCATTGTTGTGCTAAAGGGATAAATGTAATTATTAATTTCACTCTCAAGTTACTAATTCTTCAACATGTTGTCATTATTATTAACCTCTTGAACTCTTGATTGCAATTGTTCCTCTTAAATTTAACTATATGTCCATAAAAAAATTCAAAGATCAAAACTGGCTTTAGACTTTTAGACGTTTTTTGTAGTCTAAACACTTTTACAGCAAACAGGATTTAGAAATTGTATTGTTTCTAAATCTGTATACTGTAACTGCAGTACACATGATGCACTATGTAAGTTAGAGAAAGCATCAACTGAATTTCCATACTTTATTCCGACTTTTGTCATTAAGTTCAGATGCCTGAATGGTAGAGCCATTTCTATTATACACAAATAAAATCAGGAGGGACCTCAGTACCTCACACAACAACAAGACAGACATGGAAATATGTAACCATGGTGCACGGTGTAAAGGTAACAGAGGAACCCCTCAGCCATAAACTAGATTTAGCAGAGGAGCCTTGTCATGTTCAGCTCAATGAGAAATCAAATTAATATAATGAAATAGAAATAGAAATTAATTTAAATAACAAAGTCAAGTCTTAAAATATCAAAACAGTCTTTAGCTGCTTTAATTTAAAGGTGTCCGCAGTGTTTCGAAAGGGAGAGAACTGTGAAGTTTTGGAGCCACAACCTCAAATGTCTTGTGGAGTGAGGAACCAGGGGACCTTAGGGACATACTCATGATGTAGGGCTGCAGTATAATCATTAATGTATCAACAGAATTTGAAAGTCATAGTATAGTCATTGTCAGAGTAGAGCAGATTTTAACTCATATTGGGAAAAAGATGTTTAGAATTCAGCCAGATATACTGTATGTATTTGGTATCTTTGGAACTCTTGGTATCTTCTTTCAGATAAGGCTCTGAGAGTTATAATAGTACTTGGCTGTACAACATGCATTGTGAAGGTGAACCTGTAATTTCATGATAGACGAGGAAATTTCGTGCCGTTTCTGAATGTTTTGAACCTGGATTCCTGTTTTGTTTCTTTAGTTTAATTTTGAATATGAATTTTTTATAAATTCTAAACTCTAAATACATTACTACGTTATTATTTTATTCAGATTGAGGGGATGCTGGTTGTCAGAGAGTTGCTGTGCTTCTCTGGCCTCAGCTTTAATGTCAATCCCCTCCAGCTTGAGAGAGCTTGACCTAAGTGAAAATGATCTACAGGATTCAGGAGTGAAGATGCTGTCTGCTGGATTTGAGAGTCCACATTGTAGACTAGATACTCTGAGGTAAGGAATCTCTTTTTCCTCTAATTGAACATCAGAAAGTTTGTTCAAGAATGATATTTTTGGAGAACAAGAAGGAGAAGTGTTGTGGTGGATTATGTAGTTAGAAATGCTTTTTTATTTAGAGTAGTTTGTGCATGATGCTGGCACTCACTACTTCGGCAATTTCATGACCATGATGACACCTTCAGCACTTTGAGCCTGCTGTCTGTGTTAAATAAAATCTTCCTGACTTCTCTGTTGTCTTACATGAATATAATTATTAATCTGGGGGTAATAGAAACAATTTTGGGGGTATGAAATATTGACTGATAGGCTTCACTGACATAGTACTGTACTAAATATCACAACAATGGGAAAGTACCGACTACTATATGTATATTACAACTCCTCTAATCTCTGCAGGTTGAAGGGCTGTCGGGTCACAGATGAAGGCTGTGCTTTTCTGGTGTCAGCTCTGCAATCCAACCCATCCTATCTGTGTGAGCTGGACCTGAGTAAAAACAACCTGCAGGAATCCAGAATGAAGCTGCTGTCTGATGTCCTAGAGAGTCCACATTTTAAACTGGAGACTCTCAGGTCAGTAGCTGGTTTGAGTCAGTCTATATTAGTTTCAGTAGTATTTTGCAAAACCAAGTAGGATGCAAACTGAAGAGTCTGCATGGCCTTTTAAACCTTCCCCTTTTTAAATGTCTGCTTTTCACAGTGAACATCTGATGGTGACTTTAGGATTGCTCAAAATGCAGAGAAATAAACAACACTCAGTCAGGCCAGAAGTTAATGTGATGATGTGTGATTTAATCTGTAGATGATTTTTGTTCATCCCTATCAGAATGGAAGAAATGGAGTAAACCTGGAATGTGTCCATCTGACTAAAATGCATCTCATCACTGGCCATGACGTGTTGCTGACTCTGGGGCTGCCATGATCATCACATCACTGCAATACAATCAGAGATAGGACAAAGCTCCTACCATGGGAGGCATTTCTATTTACACATTTGTTAGAAATGAATCAGGTTAACTCATTTCTAACTGTGACTAAGACTAAGTTGATTTTTTAAAAATCTTTTTTATTATTAAATATGAATTTCGGTTTGAAATACTCCGTTTCTCCTTGCAGGAGCCAAGATCATTGTTACCAAGTGACTTCATGTCCACAAGGCATTTCTCCTGCAGTCACTAGTAACTGATAAAACATCTTTGTAGGTTATGGGTGCATTGGAGCAATTATATTTCAGTACAGTCGCTGTGAGGTTTTGTTGATTTTAAGAAAACTAAGATAAATATTGCTGAAATGTTTTAAAATGTATATAGTCAGCTTATTGAACTGCTGTCAGTGCATATAACTGTTATTATAGTTAGTTAAAAATTAGTTTTTCCTGGAGGTTAAATTATTTTATTGATGCCAGTGTGTAAAAAAATATGCATAACTTGTTTTTGAATAAGGCAGTTACAGATAACAGAGTGACAATGGCAGTAACATTTTGCAATAGAAATGTGTGCAGTACAATAACTTACATTTATTCTTTATTTTTCATTTATTTTTAAGTGCATAAAAACATCTCAGGGGACTGAAACGTATCATGCACTACACTGACTTTATCCTTTTATGGCATATTAAACCCATGACCTTCCCACTCCAACAAACAGCTGAATAAAACAATCTGACCCTCATCATTCTTGTCCTTATATCCAGATTACTGCAATTCTTTATTCACTTGCCTAAACACCAGGCTGACAATGATGTGTAGAATTGAATATAAACATTATGGCACTATCAGGTGCTGCATGATGAAGCCCTTCAGGACTAAAAGGACCAGTGTGCAGGATTTAGTGGCATCTAGTGGTGAAGCTCCCTCCCTTCATCCTGCAACAAGCCAACTGGAGTTTAACCCTTAATGAAGACACAACAAATATTATATTCAGTTTCTGCCAATAGATCTTTCTAAATGTTACAACCTGGGGGTTTTACCCGCTGTAATAATTTTTACTGTTCATACTGGTGATGAAAATATCCCCCACTATGATGCACTAAGTGACAGGGAACAAAATCCAGTCCTCATTTTGTGCAAAAATAAACTCCAGAGTTTATCAGAAGTTAACATTAGGCTTCAGTAGACAAATCAAGTGAATATCTTCCAAAGTTATTGTCTTTTTAGTACAAAATTCCCTCTTTTTGTCACCACTGAGGCTGAACACGACAACTACTTCATGCTAAAATTATTTATTTATGTTGTTTTTGAAGATTTCCACATGTAAAGATCCAATTTGTATTTTCATATTACAATAACAAGCCACACAAGGAAATCTAAGTATTCTCATTCAGGCCAAATCTTTTGTGTGTCTAGTGGAATTATGTATGTACTTGAATGCCTCTGTAAACTTATATGTGGAAAAAACAAAGCAGTTACTGAAAACTTGAATGTCACAACACAAAAGTGCTAACTTCCCCCCCTAGACAAAATATTTTCCAAAACATCTGTGGTCTAAACAGACTGCATGCTTTCCTCTGGTGTTCAACAAGTTGAATTACACTACTGAGAAAGAGTGTTTTATTTTGACACAGTTTTCAACCCTTTATAAGAGGAATAACATTTACACAATCTTCTCAAACCCTTTGGTACCCACTTTACATTCTTTCAAAAATATTTTTTATACAGATCAAGCGAAAACAGCTATGAGGCAAGCTGGATGAGGCTGCATCACATTTTGGTAAGAGGAGTGTTTTACAAAACACTTTAAATAGTATCCAAAATAGCCTTTAAATTATTACAGATCTATAAGGTACAACAAACAGGGATAAATCTGAGGTACTCACTGTAAGAACAATAAATAAAGTCACCCCAAACACCTCTGAAAAATAAATACATTCAAAGTAAGTTCAAAACAAATTTCCAAACAATCCCACAACTAAAAACAAATGTTAAATGTCATAAACAGTATGTTTATGTAGAGTAACATTTGATTGCAGATATGATATATTTTAAAAAGCCAGATAAAAGAAACAAATCAGCTGTAAAAAAAACAAAAAAAAAACAAAAAAAAACAAAACCCTGAAATATAGTGAGCACATTTTTAGAGTAAAACATTTTAACTGACCATGATTTATTGTTTATAATGTGAATACATGATAGTAAGCTACTGCATAGACATGGAATTAAACAATAAATCAACTTAAAAATGGGACACTTGCAGCTCCAAATGGAAAGGGGAGTCTAAAATAAAACCAGATTAAAAATGATTACACTAAAGCAAAACTATGTGTACTGAAGAGGGTCCATGTCTGTAAAAATCCTGCATGCAGGCCCTGAATATGCATTCATGAATCCTTGTTATTGAAACAATTAAATTATTTCCTTTTTGTGTAAAAAAAAAAAAAATGGATTTCAAATATTATTGATTTTAAACTTTGCTGTGCTCATCAACAAACTCACCTTGTACAAAAATGTATTTTTCACTCAACACTGTCTCATCTACCAAATGTGTAAGAGGGGTCATTTGCTCTCTTCCTCTTATTTAAAAAGCTGTGTTTTGGCTTTCTTTTGTCCGTTTACACGAGCATAGTTTGCTTCTCTGGAGCTGCCACCTTCACCATCCTCGCCTTCGTTGTTGTTCGACCAGCTGGCTTTCAGAGGTGTCAACTCGGGTGCTATTATGTCTCCATCCTGGGTGAAAAGAAATCAGAGTGAATCATTACTGACGCACAACATTGCAGTAACTCCCAATCCTAACTCCGCAAGTGATCCTGGGGCTTTGTAGCATAATTTTTCCTTTGCAGCCCAATAATGTTTTGTGGACTAGAGGAGGAATCCAACAACGAAATGCTAAAATCAGGTTATGATTTTGTTACTCACTTACATAGCTTCGCAGTACTCTACTTTTTATTCTATTTCTTTTCCGTTTTAAAAAGTCCCTCCAGTTTTGGGTGGAGACAAAGTGCCTACCCCACGTTCAACGGTCAATACTGTTACTGCAATGGATTGTACAATTCTTTCCAGTGTAGCAGTTAAATATTACCTGGGGCTTTGAGAAGTTCTTGTCCATGCACCACTGGACAAAGTGCTTCTTTGCTGCATCCAGACTCCTCTCATCTGTCTTCTTGCAGTAGACCCTGATCAGCTGCTCAGCAAACTGCTCTGGAAGGAGTTTAGACACCTGAAAAGAATGACAGCAGCACAGAGTTAATTTTGAGGCAGTGACAAACAGCTTCTACGAGTTAAGAAGAAATGCATGTAAGGCAAAAACAGCAATTTGTGAGAAGCTCACAGTTCTGACCTGGTTCTTGCGAATCTGGATGGCTGTGTTTGGGTTGTTCTTGCAATAGAAACGCACATTGTTGATGGGGTTCTTCTCCTTCATCCCATAGTCCATAGAAATTACCTAAAGAAGAAGTGAGGATTTTTAGATCAGGCATTCACTTACAATGGAGTAATAAAAATACAAAAATAAGATTTTGTTGCTACGAGCCAATGGTATTGCATTTTAAGTAATTAGATTAAAAACTCACATTAACTATAAAGTCCTCTGGCTCCAGACTGACATCCTGGGTGCCACTCTGAGGGATGGTTTGGGCCAAATCTTCTTCCCAGGAGCGAATCTTCTCCTTATAGAGGATAAAGAGCAAGAAGTGGAAGAGTCAACTTATTTAATCGTAGCAAGGACATTAGATGTGAGTGGTATCATATACTCAAAAATATATAATTACATTGAATTCTGGGCACAATGTGCATGCAGGCATCTAATCTTTCTATTTACCAAAATATCCTGGATTTTTGTATAATGATCAGTCAACCGAAAATTGTCAACTATTGATATAATCCATTTGTCGTTTAAATAAATTACTAAGCAAAACTGCCAAACATTTGGTGGTTCCGGCTTTGCAAAAGTGAGGATATAATGCTTCTCTTATTATATAATTTTATTCTTGTTTTATATAAAAGTGAATTGAACATGATTGAGTTAATCAGACAAAACATGCAATTTGAAGACATCACCAAAAGGGTGCTAAAAAATATAGATAAAATATTACACTACATGACAACTCAAAAGCATCTTTGAACTCATCAACTAATACGAATATGGACATTGGGACAAGCCGAGAGCATTACAATATAACCATACAAGACCCAAACACACACCTGGGTGACGCTGATGGTTTGATCTGCCTGAGTTTGGCCCAAACACTTATAGAGGTGTCGACAGACGATGTTATGCAGGATCTGCCTCGCCTCATTCAGCTCGGGGGAGGAGGAGTTCAGTATTTGTTCAAACACATGATCTGCAGGACAAACAGAAAATAAGTAGGGGACAGGTCAATTAAAGCAAACCTTTCTTGGACACCATTTACTGTGTAAATAATTACTAGATAAGCATAAAACAGAAATTAAATCACCTCAATACAAAGAAATGTCATAAAAAGAGAGTATGCTAAAAACAGTGGGTGACATGCTGTCTGGCCCTGGAGTTTCCTGATCTGCTGGGAGCTGACACAGATCCTCTTCACAGATCCTGAGTGTAGGTTGGGGTGGGTGTGTGTGTGTGTGTAAGTGACTGTTTGATGTTTGAGTGGGTGACCGGTGCTAATGGGGGCTTATCAAACCTACAGTATAACACATTCAGGTTGTCAGCCAATTCTCCACAGTGTGGGGGGATGTTTTCCTGTAGTTTGTGATGTCCTTCAGGCTTCCACACAGACAGCAGGTCGTTGGCTATCTTATTAGTATAGCTCTGTAGCTGTTGCTTCTTAGGTCTCCTTTGTTTTGTCAGTGCGTTTCTGGTTGTTTATTCCACTTATTATTCAGGCCGTAGTTAGTGGTAGTGTTGTACTGGACAATACGATATACTGAAATGTGTTTCTAGTATTTGTCTAGGTAAAACATCAGAAACCCATTTCAATATAATTACCCGACAACCTCAATACTAAACATTAGAGCCGGGCCGATATTATCACCTATTATTGGCCTATCATAGACATATTGGTATCAGCGTATCTGTAATCGGATATGCGGTGAAATGGAAACCGTTTTTTCCAGTAAGCTATATAATGCAGAAATCCTTGTAGTTTTTAGTGCTGATGTTTATATTTTCAGTGTTCATTTCTAGAATTGCTTGACAATACTGTATGTTCAATTATTTCACTTAAATATTCTTATTTGTTTAAGAAAGCACTCTTCTGAGTCCCTTTGCAAAGACATATCGGGGCAAAATTGTTTTTCATTCTCAAAACATTCGGCCACCATAAAAGTAATTTTTCTCCTCTAAAATCTAATAAACATATAGTTTAATTAATTGCAAGTTTAAAAAAAAAAAAAAGAATTTTATGACAGACCACAGATGGTGCACTTCTACACAGTGGTATCTACAGACCTGTCAGCTTGGTGTAGGCTTCCATGTCATCAATGGCTGTGGAGAGAGTGAACATGTTCCCTCCTGAGCCTTCAATCATGATGTGTCCGTCTGCTTTTAAAAAGGCGTCTGTGATCCTGGATAATCATACCCAACATTACTATCACTTTTGAATACATTTTGCTGCAGACCAGACTAGAGATTGAATCATGAAGCAAAGACAACGCGCTACATTAAAGTGTAAGTACTCACATAGTCTCTATGATCTTGTTCACTTTGTGCTGGTAGGCTCTTCTGTGGAGACCAGTTCCTTGTGTGGAACCATGTTTCATACAGTTGCTCCACCTCCTGTTAAAAGAATGGACCAGTATTTTTAGTTAAACTAATCATCTAAACGGATTTTGCGGTTTTAAAAGTTTGGGTATTAAAAAAAGCACAAATACAAAGTCAGTCACCTTGTCTCTAGTGCTAGATATGCTTACTGCCCGTCCACCTCACACATCCCTGGCAAACTTTTTAGGAAGCGGCGGTAGTTCAAAGTTTTCTGAATGCCCAAGGTGATAGCAGTTCCCTGAGTAGAGAAGTCAGAGAATATGTGGAAGGATAGGAAAATAAACAGAAACGTATTAATATTTAGTATAGGAATTTGGAAAATTTAATTATGATGCAACAGATACAAGTCCCATCCTGGCATAAGTCAGTCCCACTTGTCCAACAATCAATGCCCATTTCTTTGTTGGCATACGATTTCATGAGGGAATGGACTTTCTTCTGGACGCCTTATACTGCCACCTGGAGAGGACTGAACTTTTTAGGAAGCGGCGGTAGTTCAAAGTTTTCTGAATGCCCAAGGTGATAGCAGTTCCCTGAGTAGAGAAGTCAGAGAATATGTGGAAGGATAGGAAAATAAACAGAAACGTATTAATATTTAGTATAGGAATTTGGAAAATTTAATTATGATGCAACAGATACAAGTCCCATCCTGGCATAAGTCAGTCCCACTTGTCCAACAATCAATGCCCATTTCTTTGTTGGCATACGATTTCATGAGGGAATGGACTTTCTTCTGGACGCCTTATACGGCCACTGTGGAGATGACTGACAACAGAAGAAGAATTAGGACTCCAGGCTTTCAGCTGTTATTTTTTTGCATTTAGATACATTGAAACAAAATTTGACCCATCCTATACACTAGGAGCCGTGGGCGCAGCAGGGAGCAACTTTGGATTCAGTGTCTTGCTCAAGGACACTTCAACGGACGGACATAGAGAGAATTTTAGTCAGAACTAGATACCTTCTACTCTCTCTTGATGGATAATGCACCAAAACCAGGTTTACATAAGTCAAGGGAGAAATGGGAGT